ACTGGCAATGGGGCCCTTTCCTTAGAAAGAAAAATATGAGAAGAAAATATTCCTAGAATTCCTTGTCATCCAAGAATCTTGCATTTGTTGTTATAGCCACTAGCTTTTCATTGTTAGGTAAATGAAGAATCTGAGCTTTTTCCTACACCTTGGGAATACTCCCCTAGATAAATAGAGCTCAGCCTGTAGTCAGATAACAACTAAATAAAGAGCCATCTTTTAATAGCTGAAGCATGTGATACTGAACAGCCCCAGTGGACAGAGATAAACGGAGAAGGAAAATTGGTTGATTTCAAGAAAGACATGGAATCACCTTCTGGGCTGACCCAAGTTGTTTAAGATGATGAGTGGCTATGGAGGTGACAAAATTTATTGGCCTGAAAGAAATATAGAGAAAATAAATAAGCTTTGTTAGCTTCTTTAGTGAAAAAAACTGTGTGCAGTGAATTTCCTCCCTAAGATTGGTGTGCATAGCCTGATGTCAGTTTCCTAAATATATCACCTTATAGAGAAGCAAAGACTCCGGAGCCATCTTAAGCTGTGTCGCTAAGCAATTCTAAATAGAAAGCCCAAGAAATTGAGACAGGAAGGGAAATATCCTTTTCTTACACTTTTGGTATCAGTTTCTTCTTAGTGCATCCGTAGCTCCCTCATACTACCCCGTAATCTTTTACTATTTTTAGTCTCCTTACATATCTGACCATAGTAGACAGGGTCCCTTTTACTTCAGAATAGTCTCAGTATGAGGTGTTAACACTTGGTAGGGGACTAAGGACATCACATGTGAACAGTTTAACTTGTTTTTAATGTAAGTACTATGGAATTCCATGGGACCCTTCGATGCTAGTACCAACCAGGCTTTGTGTTTGACCGGGCAGTAGTCATACATGAAATTTGTTGGCAAAGTTGAAGATGATATCCTTCATCTCTGCCAGAAGTTAAACACTTAAAGATTATGTAATTTGATATTTACCCTTGAACTTTCTTTTCCAAGGTTGTTCATTGTATTCCACATAAATAGGGGTAAAATTTTAAAGGGCTCTTTTCTATTTGAATGTCAATGCCTCAAACTATTTTGGGTGTGTTTGAATTCAAGTCATTCATTGTACCAGCAACAGCCTCTGTATCCAAGAATCTATTTCTATATACTAGCACTCTCCAGAAACTATTTTCCATGTTGAAAGTTCAGGGAAGGGATGGAAACATCGAAAAGTACATTCCTTGTTGCTAGAGTATAGAAACTTTACTATGAAAATAAAGGTGTTTCTTTTAATTCAGTACTAATAATTGAAGTCATAAAGTGTCTCAAGTACATTATTTTAATCAATACCACAGATTTCTGCGATTGCTAACCTGGTGAAGAAAATAAAATATTTGAGTTATATAAAAATATTTTTTAAAAAGCCAATAGATTTGGGGACATACTATTGCTGATTTATCATTATTATAGATATGTACCTTCCCCCCCTTAGCTTTGCAAAAATAATAGGAAATGGAAAATGTTATGTGTTTACAATTTGAACTGAAATGTATGAAAACAAGAATGGGTTAAATGTCTTTTCTTGAAATGATGTAACTTACAGAGTTTCACTGAAGAATAATAGCTAAGATTCTACAACTCAGAAGAATCAAAAGATACTGCAGTAACACAAAATTGACTTTTAATGTTTGTTTACCAGTTCATTGTATCTTACAGAAAATGAAAACATTTTTTTTTTTTTTTTTTGGTAATACAGATTGGTTTTTCTCCTCAGATTTGTACTCAGTAGGTATTAAATGCCTTTAAGTACTGATTGTTCTTTTAATCAGGTGGTTTAATGACTTTTGAATTTTGCATTTCTTTTGTTGTACATCGTTGCTGCTCTGGCAGTAGTGAGCTATGATACAGTTCACTTATCAACAAAAATATGTCAGTTATCCATTGATTGTTCTTGATGCATTCTATGCTGAAAACTGACAGGTCATTCCCTTTTAATCCTCCCCTCCTTAGTGGTCAGCTACTCCATGAGACCACCATATTCTTTGGAGCACTGAAATCAAGAAACCCAGTATGGCTGCCAGCAACCAAATCAGAATCTCTTTTGAGTCTACTTCTAATTGTCAAAATAATAAGCAACTATATTACTGCATACAATAAAGCTTTAACAGGTACCGGCCCCCTTTCTATGACAGAAAGTTTAAATTTACAAATACCATATTTGACTAAAAATTACTGTGATAAAATATGGCAGCAGTCATTTAAAGATGGTTTCCAGTGTTAATGTGACTTATTTTCATTTCCATTCCTTCTTTTCATATGAATCATTTCTTTTTGTTTGTGTTTTCAAATGTAGGTATCTCAGTGGAATTTTCAAATCAACTTTGTTCTTTATATGGGCCACAAGTGTTAATTATGGACAAAATGATCAAAACAGGATTTCCTAACCCAGACTCCCATCTCATCCCTCTGATACTCTTGGAACCCTAGTCTGAGGAGTAATTTCTGAATTTGTCAGTGCTATACTGACTTTCTGTTAGGAATTGTATTTGAATAACTTTTCTTTTTTAGAAATTCTTAATGAGATATCTTGGAGAATGAAGTAGGAAAATAGACATTGGTGGAAAACAGCAAAATAAGAACATTAAAAAAACCCTTACTCAGGTAGAAGTCCAAAGGGATAAGAGGATTCTGATCCTTTGAGGGAAGTCAGAAGATAAAAATTCTGCCCAGCAGTATTCATTCTGTTAAGGTTTTTTTTCTTTCTTTTTTTTTTCTTTTTTTATAAGCATGGAAAAATGGTGTGCAATCAGTATAGATTTTATTTAGCTAACAGTCACTCCAGAGATTTTGATCAGCACCAATTCCAATACTAGTAAGTATTCAAAAGTTAAGAAACACTACTATGCTTAATATTATAAAGGTAGAGTTCTGCAGCAATAACTGAAAATAATATATCTGCCTCAACAGAAATTTGTTCCCACTTGGATTTCCAATAAAATTCTTGTAATGTGGGTCATAATCATTCAAGTATGGGCTTCCTCCAATAAGCTAACCCCCGTATTGGAGGTGTTAAAGTTGTTATTTTGGAGATACCCCTCTTTAAATAATATATTCATCTTTTCCTAGACCATTCAGGTATTTTTAATTTTGAAGTTTGAGTTCTAGTTATATCAGCAGTGTGTTTGAGCTGAACTTCACAATCTCTTTGGATTTATATTTTTGTACAATTTGCATATCCAACCTAATGTAAAAAGTGCATGCATACATTGTCCTCTTTAAATATTAAAGCATCGGGAATTTCCCAGATCTACTTCGACAAAAGAAATGGCCTACTTTTATTTACAATATTTTGTCTAAATAATGTATGGATATAATTATGGTTTCATGGACTTCCGATTGTTCTATACCTTCCACATATGTAACTCTACATTTATATAGAGTGAATTTATTAGAATTATTACAGAGCTTTAAATGCAACCACAATCAATTCAGGAAACAGATTTATTTACTCATGTTCATGGGAGGAAAATCTACATAAAAACATTCATGAAAGCATACCAGCTATGTCATACTTGGATTATTATACTAAATCCCATTTATTAGAACTCATTGTGAAACAATGGGAAACCATGAAATGTAATTTGAATACAAATATTGGTCCCTGCGGGGTCTCAACAGTCATAAAAATATAGGAAAACAGAGCTTTATTTAATATTGGAGCTGCTAATGTCTAAAGTTGTTTTTCTGAAGCTGGTCTTACCCTTTCATTTACAGCCTTGAAGATTTTAGTGTAAACTCTTTCTTTGCTGAGAGCTTCCACATTTCATTTGAGCCTAATGACGACCAGCAAGGAAAGTGATATCGTTGACCACATTTTCTATATGGAGGAAGGTTTAGAACCACTTGTTCACTTTTTTCCTCCCACACAGGCACCAGTTGGGCTTTCTAGTAAACATACAAATAAGAATAGTAAGAATTTTGAATGTCGGGTCCGTATTTGTTTAGGCAAGTGTATAGTTATACATTATTTTGGTGATTTAAATTTTATTCATGTAAGGTAAATAAGGAAATATTAAATAGTTTAAAGTTATTTTTATAGGACAATACTATTTCATAGGCTAACATAAAATCAAGCTGCTAAATTTTACAATTTTTCTGTCCAGCAGTTTATCTATATAACTGCCCTGAGTAGATGCTAATGCTGCTTAGCAAACGGCCCTTAGAATTTAAATATAATTCAGTAAAGCTACTCAAAAGATAGAACAATTCTTCTCAGGCATGTGTAATTTTAATTAAAAGAAGATAGGAATCTTTCACTGGTTAAATATTATCTGCTTATTTACGTTTCGTACTTCATATAAATGGGGTTATTAAGGAGTTTTAACTGTGCTTGTTAATATGCATTGGAGTCCATATGAATTTTTTTAAATTTTTATTTCTTGGTCAAAAGGCAGGATTTTTAAGAGTAAAACATTGTGTCTATTGCAGACTTGAAATAATACCTTTTAGAAAAGTGTAGATTGTCCCATGTGTAACTGAGTTTTGTGCAATCTCTCGGAATCTCAGTTTATGTAAAGAAGCCTGTATTTCAAATCTGTTGCTCTACTTTGCTGATTGTAGTACATTTCAAAATTGTACAAATGTGTAAAATTTGTGCTTGTGGGAGCTGCTGCTCTGAGTAGCCGTGCTTCCCTTAATTTAATCCTAGCAATTCTCAAGCTATCGCGTGCCCCATTCATGAAAGGATACTTCGCTGGGATGATGTAGCCGAAACAGATTGGCTCTAAAGCCTCCTTGTGTAGCGCTTCCCTTAAAATTATATTAATTTATAATATATACTGAGTGATAGCTTTACAAAAAAAACAAATTGATGAATTGGTTTTTATGAAAATGACTCTTTACAGTAAGTAAAAAAGGGTTATCACAGTTTTGGTAAAACTTGCATGAGTTCGTATTGAAAAAAAAAACACCTTTCACATGTTCTCAATGACCTTGACACTGACGTGCTCTAGGGGCACCCTCAGTTGTATGCTCTGAAGCAGTAGACGCCATACAGCTTATGCTTTTTGTCTGGGAAACCCACAAAGCGCACGGCAGCCTCAGTAGGACTGCAGCGCCTTCTTGGCCTAGAGATGGGGTAGCGGACACTGCCATCCGCCAACCAGCCCGCATCACAGCGGTCGTATCCCAGAAGTTTCCAGGCAGCGAAGATCTGGCCCACTTTGGCAATCTGAGCACCATCGTTGAGACAAGCCTGCACCGCTTCATCATAGGTCAGCTTGGTGGGGTGGATCAGGTAGTAAAAACGGCCTGTGGAGGAGGAGAGAGAGAGAGCGCGTCAAAGGCCTGTCTGTCTGCGACTGCGCCATACAGAGACGGAAGGAGCCCAAACGGAAGCGTTTCTCGAGGAAGGGGGATAGAGAGCAATGTCTATAAAGCTCTGGGAACATAGGATTGTCACTTTAATGTAATGCCCCTCAGTCATTTGCTGTTAAATTAACTTATTCCTTTCCCCTTAATATGTGTTCAGACATGCCCTTTTATAGCTTGAAAACAGAAAAGGGAAATGACAGTTGCAGTTTCTGTGAGCTAATTAGTGACTCAAAGGGCCCTTCTGTAGCACTAGAGCGAGAATTCCATGTTAAAAGCAAGAGCTATTTAAATTCTAGCTGTAGCAAGACTGAGCCCCAGCACAAGTTTCTGGAGAGGCAAAATTTGAATGTGAAAAGATCAAAACACATTCCTGACATAAAAGTCCATTTAAAAAAACTCAAAAGCCCTCAAGTCCTTTTCATTACAGGTATCAATAAGACATTATTCTTATTCAGAGACTACAGTATGAAAATGCAAAAAATACAGGAAGTCACTTGCCATAAATAATACGGACTCAGAATGCGAATCCAGTCTGTTCACCTACTAGCAAAGAGAATGAATTTTTGTTTTTCAACTTGTCTCCGTGGGAGCCCTGACACCTAACCATATCTTGATTTCACAAGAAAGAGCAAGTTAGTCTCCACCACTTACTGAGTAAAGTTCATTACTGAGATGCCTTCAATGTGTATTAAATATGCATACAAAGTGTGAAGTAACACCGACTGACTGTGGTGAAACAATGAAGATTATTTTAGACTTTTAGTTTCAGGTAGCATAAAGTCACACTCTTTTATCTGATTACCCTTTGCAATGTGATGTCTTCTTGCCCTCCATTACCTACAGATTATTGAAGAATAAATTAATGCTTGCCAATTCTTCCGTGACTAAGACCATGCGATTTGGAGGGAAGGTAGAGGCCACCGCAACATTAGCTACAAGGTTCGTTCTGTCATCCACACCAGAGGTCCCCAAACTGGAGCACAAGAGTCCTCTGGAGTTTTGTTAGAACACAGCCACACCCATCCGTGTAGAATTGTCTATGGCTGTTTTGTGTTACAGTGTACAAAACCACATTGAGTGGTTGCAACAGAGACCCTGTGGCCCACAACACCAAAAATATTTATTATCTGGCCCTTCACAGAAAGTTTGTTGATCCCTGATCCCTTGCTATTTTTCCTAAACCATGCCATCAGGGAGCAAAAATATAAAATGATGGGGCCAGTGTTGGCTTTATGGATGTGTGACCTGTACAGTTACACAGGGCCCCATGCTTGCTTTAACCTACTGCTGTCACCATCTTAAAATTCTTAATTTTTGTATGAGGAGCCCACATTTTCATTTTGCACTGGGCCCCACAAATTACGTAGCTGGCTCTGGATGGAGCAAGACAGGGCTGGGGGTTACACGGAAGGCAATCAGCAACACCGAGGCAACCTGATCTCTCTTCTGCTTTCACCTCCAGTGTTACTGCTACTTAATTTTTCTTGCCAAGTTCTCTTTACTCTGAGCTCTCTCCTGATGGTGCGCTTTGCTGATCAACCCTGAACATAACTGGCTTTGTAATTTAGAGAAGGAGAGTATGACTTGGAAGCTACCTTCGCTTCATTAAGAGCTCTGTATCCCAGGGCACGCATCTCTTTTGCGCACAGGAGCAGCAGCATCTTTGTCAATAAGAAAGAGAACCCTTACAGTTTAAACTATTTTATGATAATCTGATGCAATAAAACCTAAGAATAGTGGAAATAAGCATTTTTGCTTGCCCTGCGTGAATATTTGAAAAAACTATGACAGTAAAGAACTTTACATGTTCAAACGGGAACAGTGCATCAAAACCATGTTCTTTTCTAATTGGTAAGATTAAAAGTTGAGCGTGGCGTCATAGTATGCATTGGTCCCCGGGATAGGAAAGAAGGCAGTACAGTTAATAGCTTACCATTGAAGTTAGATGTGAAACAGAAAACATCGTATCGGCTTTTATCTTTGTCCCAAAACCCGTAGTTCCTGACACCGGGCACCGTGTTCTGGCCTCCACAGGGTTCCCTGGGCTTTGTGATGGGATATTGCACAGACCCGTCACTGAGCCAGCCGGCGTTGCACCAATCCAGCCCGCCCCGCCAGGCGTCGTACAGCTGGTCAAAGGAGGCAATCACAGCATCCTGGTCCAGACAAGCCTGCTGTGCCTCGTGAAAATTGAGATTGTAGCGCCCCAGTCGTGGGAAGTAAGGAAACACCACACCTGTCCAAAGGAGAGGCCAAGGGATTAGTGGTACAAAAAGGAACAACTCTGAGCAAATGCCCCTTGATTGGTGAAAACCTAATAGAATCTCCATCCGATGAAGTTGCAGTTTTTGATCAACCTGAAATGGTTTCTCATGGTCCCTTTTCCTCATCAACAGTGTCTCAGCTCTGAGCATGTCATAGTCAGCTATGCGGTTTCATAACTTCGGTGATTTTACCCTTTTGCTAAGAGCTCAACCCAAGCCTTAAAATTCTCTTTGCTGGAATGATTCATGCACAGGTTATGTTTTTCACATAGCCCCCCTTGAGAATTTACCTTCTGCTACTAGTCACTAATCTTAAAAGGGATTTCTACTGAGTCCTTTTCAGCTGGGAAAAAGTCAATATTGAATACTAATAGTGGTAGAGGGTATAGAAACAGTGCTCAGAGAGAAGGTATTTTGTTTTTTCCATGTTTTTCTTAGTAATCTTTCTTATATAATTAGTAATTTGCTTAATATAGCCTTTTAAATGTATGAACAAACACGGTAATAAATGATTCAAATGTAGATATATACTTGCTTTTACACATGTTTCTGAAAACTTACAGAGAAGAAATTTTCATTTAGGAGGTTTCTTATTTGGAGAAACTCTAAAGTGAGTTTACATGTCTAGCAAAAACCTAATTAAGCACCCATACTTCATATTAATAAGATAATTCTTTCCAGTGTAGCACAACTTCCATAGAGAGTATCCTGACTTTATCCTTTTTTTTCTATGTTTATTTATTTTTGAGAGAGAGAGAGAGAGAGAGAGAGCGCGCGTGCGGGAGGGGCAGAGATAGAGAGAGAGGCAAAATCTGAAGCAGGCTTCAGATTGTGAGTTGTCAGCACAGAGCCCAACACGGGGCTCGGACTCTTGAACGGCGAAATCAGAACCTGAGCCGAAGTCAGACGCTCAACCAGCTGAGCCACCCAGGCTCCCTCTGACTCTTATCCATTTCAACTTTTAGTGTAGCCCTTAATCTTATTTTATTTTTTCTGTCCTTGAATGGTGCAGCTAAAATGAAAGGTTTCATTTAAAAATATTTCTATTACTATTTTTCAGCTTTCATATTCGTATATTGAAAATTGAAACTAGCTTTTAAAAACATTCTTTATTGCAAATAGAAAAACAGAAAAACCTTCCCAAAACTTGTCCTATACAAGGTAGATACAGAATAAACATCTTTTGAGTTAATGCCAAAGAATTAAGTAAAATATTTGAGAATGCAAAAGCACTTAACGAAAGTGAACAGTGTGACTTCGGCACTTGACTTTGCCTGGGAAGATGCAATTACTTTCCAAAAGCATTCTTTTTGGTCACATCATCACTAGCGGTCATTGAACCCTCTCATAACTTTCTGTACAATTTCCTTAAAGGATAAGAATCACATCACAAGGAAGCAAAGTTGTATCATTTGCCGGACTTTAAGAAAGACCACTGCATCAAAATGTCTCCCCATACAAGACTGTTAATTTATAAACATTAAAAAAAGGGGGTGCACCTGGGTGGCTCAGTCAGTCGAGCATTGGACTTTGGCTCAGGTCATGATCTCATGGTTCATGAGTTCAAGCCCCACATCAAGCTCATTGCTGTAAGCACAGAGCCCTCTGTCCCCCTCTCTCTGCCCCTTCCCCACTCATTCTCTCTATCTCTCAAAAATAAACATTATAAATAAATAAATAAATAAATAAATAAATAAATAAATAACTATTAATTTAGAGTGGTTATTCAAGGCCTTGCCTTGGATTTTTTACTATAATTAGAAATGATTAATACTTGAGCATGTGGAATATGAAAAATTGTCCCACTGACACAGTAATTGGTAGGTTATATCACAAGTGCTATTTTATGAGACCGCAGACCCTATTCAAGATGAATCTACAATTGACTAATAGTGTAACCAGGACACAGGAAATGTTTTCTTTTATAAGTTGTCCTGGAAGACTCTACAAGAAGAAATTTCAATAGCCTAAATCAAGTCCTGTCCACCCAGGGCCTCTGCAGGACACGTTTGTCCCTCTAGGGCAGTCCAGCTGGCAGTCTTCACTGGAGGCAGAGATCCAGGAAGGCTTCCTGATCTCATCCTGCCTTCTCAGGTTCTTGGCTGAGGGATCTGTAAGCTGAATCAGAGCCAAAAGGAAGGAGGAAAAGACTCTGTCAGTTACCACTGCCCCCTGCAGTGATGGGGGTGGAGGGGAGTCTGAGATGGTTCTATCTAAGAAGACCTATTTCCAGGCATCCAGCTAAGAACCCCAGTTAGTGCTGGAAGGATCTGCTGTAGCCCTGCCTGTCCCCTCATGCCTTTCGTCCTCTTTGCTCAGAACTCCAGCAATGCCAATGAAAAGAGAAATAATTAATTTATCCAGTAGAGATTTCCTTGGCAGCCAGACCCCAAGTGAAAGGAAAATCTCAAAGTGTTTCAATCTGGAGAAAGAAACCATTTGGGTTGGATTTTGTTTCCCAGATGTCTCAAGATGGAAATAGTGGAGAATGTAGGATATTTTATTTTGTAATAATTTTAAAGACCTAGACAACCTTTCTGGTTTAAAGTCACTGTGGTATATTTGGTGGACTATCATGGACATTAGGAAAAAATTTTCTTTAGTGGTTATTCTTGATTGACGATTGAATGTTACTGAAACACGATTGATTCAGTTCCAAATTTAGTGTACTGTATTTTTATTTAAGTTCTTTTCAAATTTAACATAACTTCATGCAACCCCTTCTTAAAATCAAAGTGAAACCCTATATGACAACTTTATTATTTTTTAATTGTAGGAATAATTGGTCAACTTATTGTATACCAACTCAAAAGATTTACTTGAATTTTAATGTTTGATGATTATGGAAACAATACATTCCAGGCAAATCAGGGTCATTTTCTATGTCTTAGCCAAAGTGGTAGAAGTTTCACTGTATTGAGCACATTGGGTGCACACATTTCAATAATCTTGATTCTTACAAGCAGGGGCATTTCTGAAACTACATGTTTGTTAGCATTTTATTTATTTACTTGTTTTGCTTCCATTGAGTTAATATTTTAATATCTAAGACTATAATTGTAGAAACCTTGGCTCTGTGGAAAAATGTGTAATTCCTACAGCTGAATTATGGAGCAAATGGTTATTGCTTTCATCCAGCATTACAAAAATAAGAAAAGTTACACTTAGACAGGTGACACCAAGGGTGTGTGATTATTTTCCACGTATGATTATTTTATAGTTATATGTCAAAATGTTATCAAAAACCATATCTTTTCCCATGAAGGGCTGGTATGTATCACGACAAAGGAGATTAATAAGAATGATATATTGTATGGAAAAGAATAATATCAAATGACGTGAGAAGTTCAGTTAGTTGAAGTATGTTTTGAAAACACATTCCTTAATATTTATAATTTTGCAGTCCAATTCACCCTAGTTATTGGTAAATAACAATTTGTTAGACACATAAGATGTTCATACCATGGCCCATATGAAAGCTAATGTAAATTTCAGTAACTTTATAAAGTAAATATATTTAGTAATAAAAAGATAGAAATCATGGAGTATAATTTTACTGTCTTCAGTGCCTATTAGTTCTGTACACATCCTGTACACATACATATCTGAAATTATTTTTCTATTTGTAAAAGTTCTCATACTATATTTTTGTATATTTGGAGCTGTTGTCACCAGTGGAAAACCAATACAGTGGAAGGTCGGAAGCACAAACATCATGTTCTTTTTCATATCTTTATTTATATATGTGTTGATTGCTGAGATGATTTCTGCAGACCCAGCTATTCATTAATTTCTGGTGACATGAATTTCTTCATTATATTGACATGAGGCTATTCTCTTGTTGGGTGCTGGTTTGGGCATGGTGGGTAATCGGGAGTAATCAGAGGGCGTTACCCTACCCAAGATTCTATATGAAGAAATTGTTTGCACGGCTAACTCCAATTTATATGTAGTTCAGTCTCTCAAAAAAATGTATAATTTTTTTTTATCAGTGTGATTCAAAAAGTTCATAAGTCACAACTAAGAGCAAGGCACTGTACTCGGTTCTCTAGGATACAGGTTTGGGGTGTGCCTGTTACTGAAGACAGCTCATGATTTGATATGCAATTTGAATCCAAGACAGAATAAAATCTTGGAACATAAATACAAAGCATATAATTTGGACATCTTGAAGAAGAACAATTTTTTCCTAATTAGAAAAATTCTTTGGAGAACATAGCATTTAGTCTCTAATAAAGGGCCAATATAATTTAAGACGTTGTTACAATTACAGTTGAAAAGGCAGCATAGTCATGACATTTAAAATGATATTAGTTTTTGGTGCTCTTATTTATGCACATGAGAACACTGACAAGGAGCTTGAGTGAAAGCTGCCTGATTGGTAGATGGTCACATTAAGAATGTAAATGATAATGAAAAAAAGTCAAAAACTGGGGTGGAGCTAGTAAGTGATAACTGCAAGCTTGCGTTTGCACATGCAGTTTATTTGAGCCTTTAAAACACACCTTGCTCCTCTATCCCAGACTATGTGGAAACTATCAAGTCACTTTCAGGCAGCAAGCAAGCTCCTGAAATTTTATTCTCCAAGGGTTAGCTTAAATTTTTTGTGTGCAATTGCATTTTAAAATCTGTGTCCTTATCTCTTCTTGCAGCAGGTATAGATAAAATAATATGCTTTCTGAGTTTTTCTTGAAAAAGATTCAGTAGAAATAGGGTTATATAAAGCAAGATAAAATGAGATGCCATTATCATAATTTCTGAAGCTGGACAGTAGTATATGGGGGGTCAGTCTTTCTACTTTTCCAAATATTTGAAACTGGCTATTATAAAAATTTGTATCCCACCCTATTACTGAGCTTAGAGCCCTAAACCAGTCCAGGTGGATGCCGACTGTCTATGGCATCTGGTGTTCACATGTTTACCTTTCAGGAGTTTCTCTCTCATACCCACAATGCCCTCTCCCTTGCTTTTTCACACTCTCTACCCTTTGGAAGGACCCTTTCATCTTTCATGGTCCAAATCAAGTGTTGCTTCCTACTTTCCATGGCCCCTGCATGGCAGGCATGTTTTGTTTTCTGTATTTAAAAGTTTAAACCCATTTTATCTAACATTCAATCACTTGTAAACTATTTACTGAGCACTAATTTTATTCTTGGCACTTGATGGCCCTCAAGTATATTGTAGTTAGCAAGTGGAGACAAGCAAGTTTACAAATATTTACAAGACAAAATGTGATGAGAGCTAAATGGAAAGCTGTGTAAGGTGCTGTGAAAACATCACAGCTTAGGAGAGGAGGCAGAAGGTACAAGATAGAACTCTGATCTTATTCTTTGAAGATTTGTATTTTCTTCACTTGTTTGGAAATGGATTCATGTATATGAGACTAAATGTTAAAATGTTAGCTTTTTCAAGGCAGGTCCGCTGGTTACTGATGGCTCCTACCCTTTCTGCAGCACACAAGAAAGATGGAAAAACACTACCTGCAGTGAGGGGAATTTTAACAGCTACCATGAGTACACCAATTAATGCAGTATGACCAAAAGATAGTTTGTCGGTTATCCCCCAAATAACTCTGGGACCTTTAGGAATCCTCTCAAGCTGGGAGCTGCCAAAGACTGCTGTCTTTTTGAAGCCTCTGGTGTTCTCTCCAACAAAGAATTTCTCCTTCCCGTGAATCCCTGGATCATAGTGGATAAAGGCATAGGCTTCTTCCAATGTCTTGGTATCAAATTCTAATTCTAGCTCTTACCACTGGCCATGTTACCTTAGAAAAGGAGTTTTCCCTAAGTCTCATCTCTCAAGTGGGATTACTGCAAGTGGGCAAAATACATAGTGAGCACGATTATAGCAACTGGTTTGTACCCACTTACTTTACCAAATTCTACCTGATTTCATTTATTTATGTTAACTGAAGTGTAGTTGACCTACAAAATTATAACTTCTGCCTTATTTTAAAATACTTACTTTGTAAAGTATATTGGGATCTTTAATGGCCTGTAAGACTTTTGAATTAAAAGAACCAAGACTTGGAAATCTTTATATCTCCTGGCACCAAAACAGTCCTTGGAAAAATATTTATCAGTTAAATTGGTTTCTTGGACACATTTACTTGGCTCGTATGCTTATGGGTTATATGGTATGGAAGTGTTCCAATAGGGCGGAAAGCATGATGATTTGGGATGGTGCAGGGCCTAGGCAGGAAAAAATTATTCTTCTTATAGTTCCTTTTCAGCACCTTTAATTATGTCTTGAATACAGTCTCAGCTTGACCTTAGAGTGCCTCATCCTCTAACACATGAATCTCCTTTTCAGACAAGGGTAAAGCAGGTTTCATGCTCACAGCTATTAGCACACAGGTATCCAGGTGGAAGATAGAAGTATCTTATATTAGTTGTATTTATTTTTATGGTGTCCTATTTCTGGTGAGTTATATGGGTTTCTATTCACTTAAAATTTCATTTTACAATAAATGTGGGGAGACAGTAAATATGGTATGTGAATTACTTGGGTTTAGGAAATACATGGTATAGAAATAGAATTTTAGAAGAGAAACTAACTCGATGGGTAGTAACAGTTCAACCTATTATTCGTAGAAAAGGAAGCCAGGGACAGTAAGTATAATAACTTTCCCCAGTTATAAAACTCATACTGGCAGAGCTGGGACTAACCTAAGAGTCTTGGGACTACTAGCTCAAGGCTCCATCCACTGTCTGATGCCCCTTTGATAAAAGAAATTGGCTGTCAATTCATATTTGATGGTTAACAGTCTTCTCTAAGCCAATCACTTCTTTTATCTTGAATAATGCTAATGTTTATGGATATTAATGTAAATCAATAAAAACTGAAAGTACAAGCTGACATATAATCAGGAGCCAAGAAGTACAACTAAAACACACAAGAGAAGGTCACAAAAATGTACTTTATGATACTGTGCAATTTATTAGACACATAAAGCTAATAAATCTCCATACGTGTGATGGGATTCTATGGGATTCAGAAGGTCACATCTTCAGTGATGTGTTAATGAACCAACACACGTGTGGAAAAGGCACAAATCTGTCCTAGGATGTGAAAGGAGCTTCTAACAAACATATACCTATAGTTTATGTGCCTAAGGAAGGAAAGTATTCCAACAATATAGCCATTAGTCATCCTTCAGTGTAAAGAAACACTGAAATTCATGAATATGAGATACTTTGAGATATGAGAAACAGAGAGGAGTTTCCCTGTTAGTGGGGCATATAGACGGTGGGCTTTGGGCAGAGGGGAGGTGGGATGGCGAGGACACTTTTTATTGTTTAGCATTCTTCACATTTTGGTTTTTAAAATTTCTGAAAAGATTGCCTATTTAAGAAATAAAATTCCTCCAGAATGCCTTGAGTACGTGGTATTCGGTGTCTAAAAGAGTCTGGACCATTAAAAATGTTTACTTCTTTACTTATTTATTTAAGTAAATCTGGAGGGCACTTTTTTGTTAAATTAAGTTTTCAGTTAGTTGATAGAATACAATTACATGTATTTTAGCTAGCAGATGTCCTTCACAAAAGTTGGCATTATTTGAAACTGAGATAATTTTAGAAGCATAATAAAAATGCATTCAATCTGAATTTCTCAATAACTATGTAATGAGATTTAAATTTTGAATAGCATAAGGCAGTTTCCAAGTATTGTTAATTCAGTTCCACTGCACGTTTCTCCTACTTGCAAATAGCTTCACTTTTACGTATAACCATTGTGTGTACATTTCAAACATGAAAGCTGGAATCAGTGACAGGCTGCAAAACACAAAAGAGCAGAAGCATTCCATTCATGGGCTTTTGAGTTCTCACATTATCACTGTGGTAACCACTAGACGTTACTCATCATGAAAAATGATTAATTATCATTTCCAAGCTTAATATGATTTATAGTACCTACCTTGCAAATCTAATGCTACCACAGCAGTATCATCTTCTAATCCTTCAATCACCTCACACTTATATCTCCCATAATCCTCCAGGGTGAGGTCTGCGATCACCAGAGAAGCATCATTATCACTGCCTCCCTTCAGAAACACTCTGCCCTGGTAGCCTGCATAGGCTTTCTTGTGATATCCCATGGAAACAAAAACGTCCACTTCCTTGAGGTAATCTGAAGTTAGCTTGGTCCACTTGATTCGGATTTTGTGGGTTCCTGAGCCAAATGCTGTAGGGTCTCGATAAAATTTACATGGCAGTGTAACATTGCCACCTCTGTGTGAGAACACCTTGGTTTGTTCTGCTTCTACGAGTAGACGGGGGCCATTTTCTGCTATTAAAAAAAAAAAAAAAAAGAAAGAAAGAAAAGAAAAGAACCATTAAAATGCTTGTAGACTTTTTAAAAAAATAAAATGAAATATGCTATCTATATATCTATACAGGGTATCTGACAAAGCTTCTCTGCATTCTTGAACACAATCTTTTTTGAAGCACATAGAAAGTTACCTCTAATACCCAGAGGGCATCTATAAGGGAGTCATGCATTTGAAACCACTGAAAAAAAGAAGGGTGTTAATTATACTAATTGAGAAGTATTGAATAGAAAACTCCACAGTCATCAAAATTTGATAATTTAATAGCAAATTCCATTTACTTTTCTCTACATTTCAATATCAAAAATGTAGAAACAAGACCAAGAGAAATGGCATAGTTCCATGACTAATTTCATCAATATAAACCAAAACATCTCAAGATTTCAAACAAAACACCTAAGATTTCTAATATAATAAATCTCTATTTTATTTATGGGAAGAATATAAAACTACATGATCAGTTTTCATTGCACTGTTCTGGGCAAAGAACTTAGAATATCCTCACATATGTGGCTTTTATTCAAATATACACTTGTAATATGACATTCTGGAGCATTTCAAGCAGTATGTATATATTTTATTTTCATATGAAGACTAGACATTGGAAAGGTACTTTCAGCCAATGCTTTAAAGAGATTCAGGTTTTGAAATATATCCCTCAAAACTTGAATGTTAAAAGTATATCCAAAGTTACATGTTATTTTCTGATTAACCAAAAAATTACTGGTTCTTTTGTACCCTTAAAATCTCCTTCTACTTCTTGTCTTTGCTTTCTGCTACATTTTATTTTATAGTTTATCTTATCACTCCCACCTTTCTTCTTCTTGCCCTTTGGTTTCCCTCCTCCCTTCCCCAAGAGCAAGAGAGCCTTCCAGAGAGCACCGCAAGAGTCCAAGCCTGCCAAACCAGCAAGGCTCCTGTTCTCTAGGGAGCCAGCTGTTATTTTCACATCTTGGCTTTCTCTGGGGTTTCCCCTGGTTAGCTCATTGTGCTTTTGACCTTGACAAGGTCTCTTGAGGACGTGCAACATTTGAAAATGAGAAAGCAATTGAAAAACTCTAGGACACACACGCCTTCTCATCTCCACACAGCTTTCGAAGCTTGCCAAAAGCTACCTTTCACGAAGTTCTGCAACTCTTCCTGCCTGCGGCAGGCAGGTAGCGAATAAGCCTTGGCCATCAGTCATTTAACATATACAGGTCAGGAAGAGTACCCACTCACCTCTGGACAGATCCATGCCTTACTTATTTAATGGCATACACAGGATTCAGATTTTAAAATAAAAAGCGTGAGGAATAGAGATGGTAGTTTTATTTTTATCATATAGCAATGAGTATTTTAAAATGAATATATTTCATTTAGAAGTCAGCCCAATGCTCAGAAACTGAAAAGTTTAAGCCATTAATGCCTCCACTTGGAATAGATAATAAAATAAGGATAATGGCTTAATTAAAATGAATCATAAATCCAGCTCATTAAGCATTTCCTTTAGATTTTATTCTTTATCTTTTTATTTAGGATCATAGAATCATAAGGGATGAATGGTAAATCTACCCAACTCTACCCTACGTGTAATTTTTTCCCCTACAACATCCCTAATGAGTGCATCCAAGTATCTTCTTTCTGGGAGGAGGAAAGTGCTGTCGACTGCTCAGTAGAGCCTGAAGGGTGTAGGGAATATCTCCTACCTAGTTCCTGGAAGGACACCTGCTCCGGGAGGTTGCAGTCTCATGATTCTTTGAAGGCTTTCACTTTAAAGTTAAAACCAATGTCCAAATACACAGGGATAGGGGATATTATTAAGTATTCTTATACTTAGAATTATGTCTGACCAAAAGTAAGCGTGCACTCACTGCTAACTCTTCCTACTGCATAGATTTTGTACAGTATTTCTCAAATATGGTATTGCCTGATATTGAGCCTAATTTTGGCATATATTAACCTTCCACAGTTCTACTTACTTATAAAGTTATGAACCATGTGGGGTAACAAATACATAAAATGCCACTTGTGTCATAAAGGAGATGTAGAAATTATTGTGTGGTTTTACATAATCATAAGGTGTTCCAGAATGAATACAAGGTCTGAGTGTTTCATAAATTAAAGAGTTCAAGCAAAGATCAAAACCCTTGTACAAGGGACTGAGACTTCTAATTTTTTTTTCCTGTGGTTACCTGCACATCATCTCATAGTATTTTAGAATTACAGGTTTCTGATTTTTTTTTAGGTACTATTTGTTTGTAATCCAACATTGTGAGTAGGTGATGATTTATGTGGTATAATATTGAGAATTGAACAGACACCAAAAATCCACTGATTTCCCACAAAATAATTTTTCTAACAAGGCTGCCAGAATGTATAAAATTCTACCATTCTTGTTTTTTGGGAAGGGAGGTTGGGGTGTTGTGGTAATCAATGCCACAAGTCTGTGGCTGAAATTCAAAGAACTCTAAGAAAGATGTGCAATATGTAACACACTGGGTGACTGAGGGCCATCAATGTTCATTAGCCTACACCCCCAGCCTGGCATTGAGAACAATGGTTTTTTGTTTGTTTGCTTGTTTTTAGAAGATTGACACTGCACATGATACAGCACTGAGGATCGTTGGTGAGAGTGATCTGTTGCAGAACAAGTGAAATGTAGGAAGGAGCACTGGCCAGTGAGTCAGGAGCTCGGGGTGTTTGACTGACTGGTCTGCCTCATGAGAACATTCAGTTTAAGATTCTTGCCAGGCTCCTCGTGACAGGCAATCATGTTAGGGGTCAGCCAGGAAACATCAGCTAGAGAGGGGAGAAGGCAGATACAAAGAACAGATAAGGGAATCGAGTGTGCGCATGACAAACTTTGCACCCATCTTGTCTAGGGTAAGTCTTGAATCTCATCATTGGATGCAAACACCTAAGTGCCTTGAAATTAATGTTTAAATCAGCCTGTTTGATAAGTAGGCAGTTGCAAAGCAAATAAAAAACAAGGGATAAAAATAAACTTTGATCATCAGAATGAGAATTGCTTGGTTTCCTTTTTTTTTTTTTTT